GGTTCAGTGCACCCCTATAAGCTGATTAACCCTTAACACGCTATTAATTTTTCTAACACGTATCCTCTGCTGCTCCATTTCCTGTGCCGGGGAACTGTTTTTAGACCCACAATAAGTCAAATGGCATTTACTTAGCGAAGGGAATGTTTTAGAGGGATATGCAAAATAAAACAAATGTTCCTGATGAAATTCCTCATCTACTGATACAAAAATATTTGTTCTCGGTACAGTAACATGCAAGTTATGGGTTTTCGAAAATCAATGAAAATATCACACACAAATCTGTCAAGGTCACTTTGCCCTCAGTGCACCCTCACACACAACGCACGTGTATGCTGTACAGTACTGTACAGCATATACTGTACAGTACATATACATGCATAGTGTGTTTGTGTATGCGTGTGAAAGTTTTTATTCAACTTTCTCTGGTTATTTGATAATGCTCAATAGAAAAAGGTTTTTGAGAATGATTATTCTTACTTGAAATAAAGAACTTTTGATTTCTTCAATTCTATGACACGAATGCAACCAGTATACCAATGAAGCTACATGTACTTGCATGTAGACTTTGCACATAACGACATGTTCATATCAATTTTTGAGAGGCAAAAGCAGCAGATTTCACTAAAAAATGCAGAGAATAGAACAATCTTTACAGACAATACATTATTTGTTTCTCTGCATTTGGCACATCCTTTGACCCCCCCCCAAAAAAGCTTGGAAATAAATCTGTTTTTACTGATTGAGTTGCAAGTGTTCAGTTTTTCCTTGAGTGATTGTGTCCAGTCATTGTTCTAGTGTTCATTTATCTGTGGAATCCTGGAACACAGTCTGCCTTATAGTCCATAAGGGTGTGATATCTTCTGAAGCATGGTGCAGGACACATTGGCTTATTACATTCAATACAAATGTATTCAGTCTGATGCCGTCGGACTGCCCGATTGGAGCAGACTACACAGTCTGGTTTGGATGGACGTCCTGTTGGTGTGACACCATGATTGATGGCAAGGAAGTGTCTTTCTGTCAGTCGATTCGGTGCATCCTTGGATCTCCTTCCTGCTCTGCCACCTTGTCTGACATGTCCCTCAAGTAGTCCATTGATGATGGAAAACCGGAACTTCTCAGGCCGTTGTCGATTGCCAGGATGGAGGGCTTTCCATATGATCCAGTTATTGACATAGCTCACCTCTAGAAGGTAGACAAATACCTTCTTCCACCACTTCAATGTCTTGTGGATATTCAAGTAATACCACATACCCTGGTCTGCCCGATCTACTCCTCCAATGTACTTGGTGTAGCATTTGATAACTACAGGCTTATCCACCTGGCGCGGATTGTTCTGGCCTCGTGCACGAACATTTTTTTTAAATGTAGTCGCATTGTGCACAGTTGAGACGACATTTACCTGTCGTTTGTCAAACCATGACAAGTAGAGGGCCTTTCCATCGCAAACAGCAAGAAGGGGGTCACTGGCTTTAAGCTTAGCTTTTTTTATTTCATCTGGTGTTCTGACACGGTTGGTTCGGAGGGTTCCACATGCCCCTGTCCCATGGTTGCTGAGGTCATGAAACAGAGTAGGAGACGTAAACAAATTGTCCATGTAAACATGGTGGCCCCTATTATACACAGGCTGACACAGAGTTGTGACAACATCGTGATACAAGCCCACCTCAGTTTGGTTATTCCGTTTGCCTTGATAAAGTTCTGATTTCCACACGTATCCTGTTTTGCCTCAGCCAAGTTCCAACAGTTCAATCCCCATTTGTGGGGCTTGTTTGGCTTGTACACCTTCATAGCAGTGCGCCTTTTGAAAGGGATTATTGTTTCATCTACGGATAGTTCTCGATCCGGGTAATAGGCTGTCTGCCATCGATCCACAAGCAAATCCATTATTTCCTTGATTTTTCCCCGCCTGTCATGATTTTCATCTGCAGGGTCTAGTGAGTTGGGCATTATCAGTGCAGTGAGGGAAGGTCAGTATCAGATAAAATCTATCACATGACATGATAGATCTGATGCCGGGGGCTTCCAATGTCCACTCAGTGGTCCAGTACAGTTCGTAGTTGGAACGGCGATCAATACCCATCAACAGCATGATGGCAAGAAAAGCCTTCATTTCACTGGCCCGAACTTCTTTCCATTTCCTGAATCTTGAATGTTGGCTGAGATTGTCCATGCCTCCTTGCTTTCTATGGTCGTGGCAGCATATCGGTTTGTTTCACGAACCAACAGATCAATGACATCCCCATCAAAAAAATGAGAAAAAATCCCATATTCAGTGGGTTCCGCATCGCCATCAAATCACAGCTGACCATTCTGATGGTTGAAATTTACCAGCCAGTCGTCTTGGTACGCCCTCCGAAAGGCCACTTCCCACGCGACATCATCACCGGCCCTGGCCGCGTGTTGCCGATTTTCATGGGGGCCGTTCACAAAATCAGACCCACTGCTGCCGTCTCCTCCGGTCCCGTCCATGCCATTATTACTCGTACCCTCACTGACTTCATCGTCGTCAGAACCACTAAGAAAAGGCTCTTCAAAGTCCGAATCACCGGAGTCAGAGTCTCCAAAAATCTCCTGAAACGCTTTGTTAACATTCATTGTACACGACAGTGGTCGTCTGTGCAGGACTTTGATCGGTAAATTACAAAAACTTTTCTAAGAAAAGTCAGCTTTTTTACGATGAAATATTGTTGTCCACGTATACAGCTATCTAAGAGTACCTGGATGAGGGGTCAGGGGTCGATATATTTGCAGAATTCAATGACTGAACATGCATAATACATGCGGGCGACTGTAGTCGCCCGCAGCATGCAGGGAATTTGTGCGCTGGGCGACTGGAGTCGCAGATAGCGCGCAAAGGGTTAAGGGCATTGCGAGTCCAGATTTTATTATACACGTCCGTGCACATTACCTTCCTGAAGCACCGCCATTGTTCGGCTGTGCATTTTGTGTACAAACAATGCGCGATGTCCGATCCATAACCTGTGCATTTTGTAACCAGGAGGGAGCTCTGATCTCTATAATAAAATGTTATTATAGAGATCAGTGGGAGGGATTCCAGTAGACTGGTCCCCAGTCTGGGGCAAGCATTGATCTCCATTACATAATGGAGATCAATGGGGGCAAGCCTGCTATGCCTTGAGCAGCCTCCGTAGAATTTCTAGCTTATTTCGTGCCAATTTCAGCCTGGTCACGTGTAGCCCAGTCCAGTAGTGCACGTCGTCTAGTGCCAGCGTAATACTTTACATGTACATAATGTACATGTATGTACACTGTCATCATCTTTACTTCAGCTGTGGCCCTCCTGAGTAATATTTGAACTCCGGTAAGTAGGCCTAGCCTATTTATTTAAGTTTCAAAGAGAAACAACTGTTGGAATGTTGTGCACTGCCGGGGGGAGGGGGGTTGCTGTTATAGGGCCTAACCATGCTAACTAAACGTAAAAATAAGACTTTTATGCTTCTTTTGCTGCGCTCATACACGTACTGACGTAGTCCCTTACATGCATTAGGCCTACATGTACATCATGTACCTGTACATGAAAAGCAGTTTCGTTCTAATGGACAGCGCAAATACATGTACCAGTTAAAAGTGTCTTTAACAGTTACAGGAAATTATAAAATGGCAACCATCTTGAAAAAAATAAGATGTCCCTCGGGTTCTCCCCAGGATTTTCAATACTGTGGGGTATTTCCATTGTGGTTTACCAACATTTTGCGAAGCCAGGGCATGGAACTATCGTCTTCGTGGTAGATGCTATTAACCCTAACCTTCCCCAACCACACAGAATTAAACAGCAGTAAAGTGTTTAATTCTA